AGTGGGACTCATGCTTTGGTGGAATGCTCATGGAACATGCGGTTTCCAAAATGCTGTGACTCACACTATTTTCTTCAAGAGGTGGGTTTAGGGGTCTTTGACCCGGAATCCGGCCATGGGTCTTGTGACGGTCATCGTCTACCCGGAACCCTTTTTTCTTTGGGACCACCCTGAATCATGTTGGAGAAGAGATCTGCACGACTTGGAATACTCAAACCCCAGGCCTAGTGAAATATGCAAGAGTGTATCAAGTGGCCGAGAATCCTACTCCATCAGCATCAACTGTAACTGGCGGGCAGGAGTGACCTACAAAATGAGTTCTGACAGAGTGTCAACCATGTGCAGTTCAGTAGAGAAAGCCCTCAAATTGACACCGGATTTTGCTGCCCAAGAGTGTCACCTTCCAAATTGTTACCTATCAGAGTATCATGTCATTTGGAAGGTGACACCGAAATTCATGGAAATTCTACAGTAACACTGGTCGGAATTGCTTGCCTGGTCGGCCGATGGCCATATACTCTCTGGGGTCCAAAAAGGACTTGAAGTCATCAGCCAAGCAATCGCACACCATCCGTGGGGAGGAGAAGGCCCAATCGAATGGCATGGCAGACCTCATCAGCCCAGTTGGACAGAAAGTCCAAAGCGGTGAGTAAAACATTAGGTCGGTTGATTTCTAGAGAACCACTTCCACGATCTTCGAGTTCCCACCAAGGAAGTAGCAACAAATCCACCCCAGCAACGTGTGCGATCACAATTGCTTTTACGGTTTGTCGAATATCCACAGGACACCATGTCCATGACCGGCAGTTTTCGTCGAGCTGTCCATATGCAAGGCAATTACAGTTGAACAAAGTGGAAGCGGGTGTAACCCAATTGAATTGATGTTGATTACAAATCCCCGCACCACCCAAGAAACAGCCAAATGCATGTCAAATAAATATACATCTAAATGCCACCAGTAGCGGAAAAGGACATTCCCATGATTCAGGCGAGTGGTATCTTCACACCTGCTGGACAATATTCTGCACGTCTATGTAGTAATCCACAACAGGTTTCATCTTCCACACTGATCATATGTTGTTAACTCCTTGAAGGTTCTGCTACCGTGTTTGGACGTCTCTGATGACGGGGCACCGCCCTTATCATCAAATTGATGTTTGCCTTAAAGCCGTTGAGCTTCCACAAGCTTGCACAGGGCTTCAACAAGCTTTTCGTACACCCGCCGCCAAACTTTCCTTGTACTTTGATGCCTTTTTGACTTCCAGTTGGCGTCCTACTAGTAGACTCCAAACTTCGCTTCAAGAGCACCCTGAAACCAAGATTTTCCAGAATTGTGCTTGCCTCTCCAGAACTATTGAACCGCATTGTCCCCTTTTTCCAGAAATCTTCCCTAACCCGTTTGGCCCCCGTGTCTAAACAATCACCAGGTGGTGCTTGCTAAGATATAGGCCAAAGGAAAAGGGATTGCAAATCGGGGAATAGACTTCCGACCTGGCAAATGGAAGAACAACAAATACTTGAGACGATTTTGCGTTGATCCCGCCAAAAATGTTTCCCTCCAGAAACACTCTTGATCTATGCGACCAGAAGTCTGCGTTACAGCTTTTCTTCTTTTCTGCGGTCTTAAAAAATGAAAAACCGATCGCCTAGCTCGGAACTTGGATGCACAGCCACGAAAAACAAGTCCAAATATATATGTTGACTGTGGACTGTGGTGGACGGCCAATCAATCGGCTGTGCAAAAGAGCAAACGTACCATGACAACAAATCGCTTGCATTCAGGTGGCAGGCCTCAATTGTTTCACAGCTCTTACTGACAGACTTCATGCGGAACCAAAGAATAGAATTGGAGCTGAGTAGTCGGGGAGAAATCCAGGGCAAAATGCCAAGAATCCTCAACATGTTCAGTAGGCTCTTGGCTTGGTTCAGACTGATTTGCTACTTAGGTTGTACCTATCTTCCTGTCTTGGACACTGGAGGATCCCGTTCCGCTGGTGTTTCGTGGCTGTTAGCCTGTCTGACCACGCGATCCGAGTCCGAGACCCAAGGGCTGCAGATTACATCATCTCCCTTGTGTTGAAAGGGATAGAGTGGATAGAGGCTGCAGCATCGCCCCCACCAGTCATCATTCAACGGTCTGCCCAAACAGCGGACTCCAAAAAGGTCTATCCGAACGAAGAAGATTGGATCATCAGTCCGCTCTTCTTCGGACCCATGTGGACCATCCCAGCGAACCTCACACTGTGACAGGTGAGGAGTGCTCCGCCACCTGATGGCCTGCATTAACCTTCAAAGTCAATGTCGATCGCATGATCCCGCTACAAGAAAGGACAAGAACATCTGGAGATGTCTGATTTGTCCGGAAAATCCACAGACTCCCCAAGCCATAAAATTAAATCACTTTGTAATGGCAAGCCCTGAGAAGATCGGATCGTTGGCCCGCTCTTTCCATGGGCGTTTTATCAAACTTCGACATCGATGGTATGATCTTTCCGGCAAAGAGGACAAGCAAGTCTTGCGGTGTTTGATACTCCGAAGTATCCACTGGCTCCCCAAGTGACCAAGCACTCTTCGTGATAGCAATGCTGACATGGTAGCTGCCTCACATGCTCATTACCTTGGAGTTCCTCCAAGCAAATTGCACAGGTCCGTTCTGGGCTTGGACAATCCGCCACATCAACCAGGTCAATCTGCTTCTCAATGGACCTTGTGAACTTGTTTTTGGCCCAGGGGATGCTCATGTACTTCCTAAGCTCTAGGGATCTGGCAGCGATTCCGCCCCTTTTTGAGGCACCCAAACATACGTATGCATACATCTTATACTGTGTATACAATGTTAAAAGGGTGGGGCTGTCACAGCCTAACGTTGGGATTCTTGCTGCTTGTCGGTTTGCAGGCACCCTTTCTGACCTGTATAAAAGGGTGCGTTGCAAAAGCAAGTTCATCCCCATGCATTGAAGAAACCCTTACTTGTTTTGACTGCTATTCGTGTTTGTTGTCCAAACAAAAGTGCTCCGAAGTTTGTGCATTTCTTGACATATGTTTGCTCATGTCAGCTTCTGCACCTGCAAGTGTGCACCATCAAGTCTGCACCATCAATGTCAATCGCAAACCTGGGATGTTACCAGAAGACCCGACTCGTTTTGGAGGGGTCCCGCCTCTTCACAAGCTCTTTGATGGTTTTGATGTCAGGCCTCGGAAAGTGCATCCTTTGGCCTGAAAATCCAGCAATGCCCATAAGCGCAATCGCCAGAAGGACAAGAACCCCAAACAGGATGAAGACCACGCCCTTCCACACATCGACATCGATCATGGCTACCTCTATGCGCCTGTCTGGCTCATGTGTGCCTTCAGTGTGCCCACGCACATGACCATGCTGAGACCAACTCAATTGGAATGAAGAGTCCGGTCTGTGGATGTGTGCTCTCTGTAAACTCTTGTGACCTGTCGCCAGCATGAGTCGTGTGGGTGCTCCGGCCAAACTTGAACCGGTCAAATGCGAAAACATTTGGATGTCTCAATCGGCCCTCATGGAATGCACGGAACCAATAGAATGATTAAAAGTTTCCTCAAGAGAAATGAGCATTCCTCCTAAAAAGTGCTCAAATCAACCCCCATGAAGTCCTAAAGCGGTCATGGACCTGAGCTTGTGCAAGGATCTTGACCTACACCCCCAGGAGAAACATCTACAAGGGGAAAAACACAGGACAAACGTTCCAACACAACGTGTCCATTCCAACCGTGCCGCCCTCACATGGAAAAGAGATGCGCAGGTGCTGCAGGAACAGCGCAACAGACATACAAGTTACAAGGGTGCATCCAAGGGTCTTTCTCCAAGATTTCTTTTGCAACCACACAGCTGCAAAGCAGATTGATCCCAGAGATATGGCCCGGACAAAGGGAACATCTTCCATTGCCAGAAGACTTGCGAAAGTGAGGCGGCTTATGAAGCTCTTGAACTACTTGGCTGTGTTCCCAAACCATCGAGTTATGCGGCTTGATAGTGGTCCCAAAGCGCATGTCAGGTGGTTGATCAAAATTCCATCTTGCTGGAAGGCCATTCTTCGCGAAAAAAATTAACATTCGCGAATCTTTCGCGAACTCCATGTTTAACTTTCGCGGGGAGCATGTCCTCTAAAAATCGTCGTGGTTTAGTGGTTCTACATACCAGCCTAAGCACTTCCATCAAGCACCATTTTGGAGCTGCAGACGAGGTTGAGGTGTTACAAGGCAGATTGGCAAGAACTCTCAATCACCACCATTGGATGAATCAGCAGAACTGGTGGAGGATGAGCTGGAAGAGCTATCAACGTTTGTTGCCCTCATCTTGCTAGGTCTGTCGCTGCTTGGCTTGGGCAGGGGTCCACAAAACAAACCTTCACATTCGCCTATGCTTTCGCGGAACCCTCGCGAATCTTTCGCCAAAACATGTCGCGTCGTTGGTGGGTTTCTAGGCGCGCAGCGTAACAACCAATGGCAGCAGCAGGAGGAGGAGTAGTACGCAGTGGTAGTGGTAGTGGTAGTGGCAGTGGCAGTGGCAGCAGCAGCAGCAGCAGGTGTTGTTGTTGTTGGTAGAGACAAAGACAAAGGCCCTGGTATGATGCAGATGGCCACAGGAAGTGAGAAACATGAACGACCCGTTGGGTGGTGGTTGTTTGTGGTAAAAAGGTAAGGAAGGTATCACACTCAATAGACTTATCCACCTGTTCGATTTCAAGAAACATAAAGCATGATCATGGGAAGTGCAACATATTGTACTGGGGTACCACTGCCCACCGCGTTAGACTCTTGAAATAATAAGCGGCAAAGCGCATGATACGGTAAGAAAGGTGGTGGGCTTGGTTCGGTGTCAAGCAGCGAGGTAGTGTAGACAAGTTGTGGTTGCCAAAATCCCTCAGATTTCGAAAAAAGATTACCTGAAGCGTCTTGCAGAAGCCGGATTCAATTCAGACATACGGGCAGTCATGCATACAGATGCAACCCCAACCTTTGTGGGAACAGGACATTTGGGAATAGTAGATCACCATTCTGTAAATCACAGTGCCAATGAGTTTGTGCGTTCCGTCGAGGTGCTTGCCAATGTTGAGACCCGCAAAATGCGCCCCGGCTCTTGTTCGACCAACATGATTGACAGAGAGTGGAGGGCCTTGAAGAACATGTTGCCAGAGCAATTGTCAGCAAAGTCCGAAGCCAAACGAGACCAAGCCTCCGCGTGTGTCCACTCTTGCCAGTGGCGTCGCATGACTGCTGGGCTAGATCAATGGAAGGAGTTTTGCCAAGCAGCGAGTCTCAGATTGACAAGGCTGAGGAGTCCGAAGCCAAACGAACCAGGTTGCTTGCGGATGACAAAACCATGCCCAAAACACCAAATGGAGTGACGACCCGTATGGCTACTTGCAACATCACAGGCGCGCTGAACCAACCATTCTCCATTTGTGCAAAAAGTATGATGCAGTGAAGAAACTTCCAAGAGCTGGTGTCCGCCTCACTGTGCACAGCCGGTATGACACAAATATGTGCCCGCCAGATTGGCTTGCGGTGGTGGCGAAAGACCAGGGTGAAGCGAATGTGAACCCATTGGATTTCCATCTTTTCAATTGGACTGGAATGGGCCTTGAAGGCTACCACTATGATGCGTTGATCCCGAAGACTGCAGCTTGAATGTGTGGAAAAATATGATCCAAGCTTGGCTGCCTGAAGGGAGAGGATGATGTGACTTAACGTTTTGTTCGGTTGATTGATGTTCATCCCCTCCTAGAAGAGGCCTTTACAGACGACCCGTTGGTAGTTGTGTTGGCTGAGGGGGGGTCTGGATCAACAAGGGGTCGTGTGTAAAGGTCTCTTGAATTAAGTTGAGAATGAGCATGGGCACGGGGCGGCAGTAATAGTCGCTTCCTTGTCCTTGTTGTTGTTGCTGTTGTTGTTGTTGTAGCTCACACAGCACTGTTGCAAATCACTGATGATGGTATCGCCTCTTCATGTATACAATATATAGTATAATAGACTCTTTCGCAAATCTTTCGCCAGAAAAAAAGTAACTTTCGGGAACTAGTAGATGTAGTGGCTCGTGGTTGGTGAGGGTCTTGCCGCAAATTGACGTTGTGGAAAAGCAAAAACACTTTGATCCAAAAAGGATCCAGATCTGACGAGCAGTCTTGGTTCAAGAACACATATCGGCCAGTCCTGATTCCCTCCAGGGCTAAGGACGATTCACACCATGGACAGGCGAAGAGAAGGTTATCTGTAAGACTTGTGGCGGTGGGAGATCGTGGTCATAGAGGACATGAGGAAGGTGCAAGCCATAGTGGGAGCACCTCCACGAGACTGCTGAGGTGACCTGACCATGTGGTGAAGGAGTGGCTAAGGAGGAGCATGAAGGTGTAACATGCTCTGAAACGGCAGGGCATCGTGGCCATGGTCGGGGGACATTAGCTCCTCTACTATATTGAGGCCTCGTCACTATGGGAGACAGTTTGCTCAGAGATCAGTCAATGGCACATGGGGATAGCCAAGCGGCAATCGCTATCATTCGCGGGCTAGTAGGTTTGCAAACGATCGCATGTCTGACGGGAAAAAGTTGATGGGGACCTGGAAAATCTTCCACCTGCAGGGATTCCAGTTGACCAAACAGCACGGTGAAAGCTTTCAAGACCTTAACCAGCATGAAGATGCGATTGGGAACGAGGCCACCCATCAGAGGTGGGCTAGAGGCTAGAGCAAGTGGCAAAATTGTATCAACAAGTGGCCCTGCACTTAGTTAGGGTGGCTTGAGGGGCAGGATCAAGGGCTCAACCTCACCAGATCAGTCAAACAGCTCGGGAAGAATTTGAGAACTCCGGAAACGCAGATGAGCTGGAGAGGAAGGCTCAATGGAGCCAGCAGGGTACATGCCCCAGGTGGTAAGGACCACGAAGCATTGAATCACACCACCGCTCTTAAAGCTCTTAGCTGGAAACCCCTTTTGGAGCGAGAAGGCGCCAACAGACCAACTCCAGGCTGTGCATTGCGTGCCTTGCGGCCTAAGCCAGCAATGACCAGAAAAAGTCCAAATCACAACAAACAGGGGCATCATCACCTTCATCGGAGGCAAGGAAGGGAGAGGGTGAAACACCCACTGCTAGCCAAACGTCGGGGCAGGCACCAATGATGGAGGCTGGCGAAGGCCAAGGCCATGCCCAACGGACCGCCTGGACCACTATGGGGTGGATATGAAGCCCCTTCAAACAAAGCTCACGTGCCCCGTCCACCAAGACTGCGATCTAGCAGTCTATTTGGTGAAACAACAATGTCTATGACAAAATCAGTTGCACCATCAGGCTGGGCTTCCTATCCTGGCTGATCAGGAAACATGGCCCGGCATGACAACGTCTTTACCCAGAGCATCGATCAACACCTGCGGAAGCATAAAAGCGCAGAACACGCCCTGATCCAAAAAGGATCTAAAGATCTGACAAACACGTTTGGCTCAAGAATAAATGTCTTGCAGCACCATGGGCGTATATAAAGCTTTAACTCCTAAGAAGGTGGATAAAGGAGACCCGACCTGTTCGTCTGGCTTCTTTCCCTCAATTGCCTTCCGGCTCGGATCTAACACCAACTTTAGGCCACCGTCCTATTGGTTCTTGGTCGGTCCCAGATTGTATGTGCTTGAGGATCCCATACATGTTGCAACTCCAGTGCAACCAACAAGCTTGCTTGTCCAGAATTTCCCATAAAACTGTTCAATTGTCCCACAACATGCTAGTTGTTGCATGTTCTCGCTGCTGTTTACAACCAAAAGCTGTGCCTCCACATCAATCTAGCCAAAAACGTTTGAGCCAAAACGCTTCAATGTACGACCAGTACGGCATACGACACGACGCTGGAGGGTTGGACCTACGGCCAAAGAAGGTTTAGCCAAATATATGATCACTTGAGATTGATAGAGCATCGGTTCGTCCAAAGTAGCAAGTATATGAAGTGCTTTCCCAGTAGACAGAAACTATGTCCAGTACAAGTTTGAACTGACTTTTGCTATTCAAGCAATTTGGGGATCACTATAAACTGGGTCCAGGGCTACCAACAGCAGCATTTGATTGGGCAAAGACCCTGTATGCCTGTGCCAAAGCTCAAATCTTCTTTGCATCTCCTGCTTGCCGTCTACTATCACATCTTGAAGTTCGTAGATCGGCATGGCGATGGCGCCTCAGGAAGGGCACTGATGCCGGGGTGGTTCTTGTTTTTCCAGGTGATTTCAACCTAGGCCTCCCGAATGGAGGAAAGAACAGAAGCACCGTTTCGCTCTGGTGGACGCACCCAGGTGTTTCCAGGCTCCATCATGTTTCCAGGTGGACCACCCTGTCACGTGGTCGCTCCGTTCACATCTACCCGGACCCCTCCACTGCTCCGTTCCGTCGACCAAGTGACTGTTCTTCGTCCCATTGGGCCCATGGAGCGGGGCAAGACTGGTCAAACACCTGTTGATTGAAGTGAAAAGTCTTGATTGAAGTTGACACCGTTTTTTTCAGCGAAAAAGTAAAAATAACACATTTAAAGACAGACTTGATATATGAAGATCAAAGTTTTAAGATGCCATGTCTTGAAGAACATGGTCTCAAAGACCTTTTGGGTCGCCCGGCAAAGATCCAAGGTCCAACTGCTCTAGAAGAAAGGCATGTTGTTCCAACTGCTGCGTTCGCTGTGTTGCTTTCTCAGCCAAATGGCCACAGACTCTGACGAGGCAACTCGTGCGGCTTTTCGGCCTTTCGAGTCAACACTGAGAGCACAAACTGCGAGAGTGCGACACGGTGCGATAGTGCGACACGGGGTGAAGAATCGGATAGCTCGTTCCCCAAAAAAAGCACCAGAAAAGAGATTGACAGAGACTCGACCATGTGACTTTTTGCAAACAGCATCGGAAGCGTCGAATCTACAAGTGTGACTGAAGGAAGACCAAAACAAGAAAATCGGCGCATCCTTAAATTCAGCGCTCCCACTTCCTTTGCACCCATTTGGTGCCATCTGGCCAAAGGATTCCATCTTTGTCCCATTTGCCGACCGTTTCTCGAGCTTCGTTGATGCGCTTTCGATCCACCACATCCCTCCCAGTCTCTTCAACAACAATCTCATTGGCATCTTTGTTGGCCAACTTCACCTTCAAACTCCAATCATAATATGTCACATCTCTTCGCTTTCGGCAGTTAAATTGTCCTTCATCACCGGCCCCACTTTTGTCATATCCATCGATCTTCCCCTTGGTGCCGTCAAAGGCAATGACCACATTGCGTTCACAGGCTGGATGCTTGGGATCATCATAGGAACCAAACCACTTGGAAGCTCTACCGCCCACCTTCGCAGGAACACCTTCTTGGGCCACTGCCGGCACTGCCAAGGAACTGAGGGCAGCTGTCACAGCGAGCCGACGACCCTGACTAGCTGAGAGGAAGTTTGGCAAGAGTTCCAAGTGCCATACAAAGCACGCAGCAGTGAGCAGGAGCGCACGAGATCTGGAGCTGCAAGCTTTGGGCATTGCGAGAACAACAACCAAACTACTCCAGAAAAGCTTATTGAGTTTGACCGATTGACCAATGGAGTTGCTGCGCCTTTTTACAATTGAACTTCCTCTATTTGAAAGGGGGCCTGCGGGAGAAGCACGCCAAGCAAATTGTTTCACAACAGAATCTTCACAATGCAAGGTGATGCTGCAGAGTTGCGCTGGAGGATATTCTCAATATGTCTGCAATTTGCGCATCGGGCTCCACTTGTATATACATATTATATATATATATTGAAAATTATCAAACCTCTCGAAGAACCTGTTCACTCGGATGCTTTTTCAGACTGCGCTCTGGTTCAGCAGCTGCTCTGACGGATGCCCACTCATGGTCTTCTGCAGCAACACCGCTGCAACGGCAGCAAGGCACGCCAACCAGAGCCTTGCACCTCAGAACCAAGAACCAAACAATCTTTAGCTGCTTTGTGAGACCCCCAACGAGTGAAACATCACCAAAACACATTGTTTTTTTGGTGCCACGAAACAAATCCTTGTGACAAGTAGAAAGAGGCACCTGGCAGTTCAAAGCTCCAAAGCCTCTAACCCCCGCTCCTGCCTTTGTGCAAGGCGAAGTGCTTCATGTATTTCTGGCAACAGGAAGCTTCCTCCGTGACACGGGTTCTGGTCATCTACCGCAACACAGAAGCAAGTGGGAAACATGTTGATAGTTCGTGAGGAGTTGCAGCAAGGCAAACAGCAACTTGATAGTGACTGGTTGTGGTTTGGATCTGGGACTCCTGGGTCCAAAATTTTGTAGATTTGAACAAACCGTTTCAAGCCCACATGCCTGGATCGGTCGAAACCCCAATTGGTTCCACATGAAAGTTTCAGAAATGGACACCTCAAGGTCTAAGCCATGTTCTCCTAACCAATGAAAAGGAGTCTAACAGTCTAACCATTGCGCCGTTCCGAACGGCGCCACTTCCCACCTTGGACGCTCCCGGAGCTGGTGCCAGGCGTTGCAAGTGCCGCTCCATCTGCGGAAATGGCGGACGTCTCGGCCGGGGCAGGGCGACCCAACAAAGGTTAGAGAAGGAAAAGCCATGAAGCTATGCCATGCTCTACCCACCAAGCGTGGAAATTGAGCTCAACGTACCTGTACCTTGGTGCCCTTCAATTCCCGGGCTTGCCATCTAGCCAAAACAAGCAAGCTAGACTGTACCAAACTGTGGCTTCTTTGGGGTCGCATCCAAAAAAGGACCTGAACCTTTACCATCGATGTCTGAATCCAAATAGTGACTTCGAGGATTCATGGGCCGACGTTGCCGACAATCTTCGTCGGGGAGATCTGCAAGCTTTAGCGATTTTGCTGCGCAAGGCGTGTGATTTCAGCTGTGCTGCTTGAAGATGTCAGCAACAAACCACGGGAGCACATCTGCTAAACAACAACAAGACTGGACTTTGTTTCCGAGCCACTCATCTACTAGTGTCATCTGTGCATTTTTGTCTGTGCCCATCCACAGCCAGAGGCGACCAGCCAAAGGCCTCGCCTCACCCTCTTGCGCTCCGGTTTGGCTCAGCAAACCCAGCGACTCCTCTCGGGGTGCTCTCGGAGTGTCCAGAACAGGCTCATGGACCCTCATCAGATCTCATGGGAGGAGCGAGAATCACCTCACAGGTTCGCTATAAAATCCAACCCCTTCCAATTCAATTCTATCCAGGTAAGCACAACCAGCAAGAAGGAAGGAGAAGTTCGAAAGAAAATACAATTTAGCTAGCAAGCATCGAACATCGAGCCTGCATTCTATGCAGGAACAAAGTAAAGTGGTTGACCGCTTGACCGTTTTATTGGCTCTTACTGATATAATTTCCTGGAGGTATGATTCAGCAGTAATTGCTAGTATTTCCAACCATTACATGATGTACATGTGTTCAGACTCCTGAACCCCCACAGGGTTCTGTGCTTTCTGCTGCACCAGGGCCAGACTCTGCAAAGCCTCGCTGGATTTAAAAAAAAAAACAACAAAAACATAACTATCCTGAAGCATGAAGGACTCTTATCAAGTTGCAAAGAGAATTATATATGTCTACCAAAACCAGAAATGCCCACTTCGTGCAGAATCACTTTTGAACCCTTTTGGTCCAATGATTTTACACTTGCCATCAATTGCCTCTTGCTCTGACTCTCCATATTCTATATATATATATATCGTCGATATCTGATCTCTTCTTGGGAAGCATTTTCCTCGAGATCCACGACGAACGACACACGGTGCCTCTTGTTGAAGCTGAATGCATCGCTGCTGAAATGGACAAGGAGCTTTGTCCTCACAGAATCATGCTCACACACGTTAGGTCGTGACGTGACACAGCTCTGTGAAGGCTCCTCGCCTCAATCTCCAACGCAGCATTCTCAGGGGTGTCTTTGCCTCCTAGAGAAGAAAGGAGTGCAAGAACTTCTTGCCCTTCTTGCCAGGTACAGTTCTGTTGTTCTGTTGTCTGCAGCGGCTTGGCTCCAACAAGACATGTTCAGAGAATCTACAGTGTACATTCTTCATCGGCTTTGTCCTCTACCAAATTCGAGCTTTGAGCAGTTGGAGTTACCTCCATCATTCACCCCTCACTGCAGTGTATAGCCCAAGCGACCCTGGTTCTAGGGCCCCACCCTCTGGTTTCGCCTGAGAGATTCCACTTGAGCCTTAAGGCTTCTTCCGCTTCGTCCAGCTTCCCTGCCTGGCAAGCGAGGGAGTTCACTGCTCCACGCATAGGAGTTCGCTGGTCCTTTCGTGAGGATCGTTGTCAACCTGAGGAAAACTGAAAGAGGATAGAGGCATATAGACTCAGATAGAGGCCTATCAACCTCTCGGACGCAGAGATCCACAGGTGTTTCCAACTACTAATGCAGCGACTCCGTTTACGAGCAAATGGACATGTGCCAAACATGTGCCTTGGCCGCGTGGAAGGCCCATTTGCCACACAGCTCCGCCCAATCCAGCGCAAGGCCACCCTAAGCGTGAATCCGATTGTCCACGACTCAGACTGACCTCTTCTAGTTGTAATAGTCTACGAAGCACAGGTCAATTTCTGTTGCTTGGAAGAGGAGTGGCTCCGTCCATCCAGTTCTCACCAGGAGGTCTTGACATATCTTGACCAATCTGGTAGGAGAGAGGAGGTGACATTCCAAATCTAGCTAACTTCAGACACTGGGCGTCCTTCCAAAACAGGAGGACTCTCCCACCATCTCCCACGGACAAAAGGGAAAAATATCAACCAGCTTGAAGGAGCCTACTTTTGACAAGGCACGGCTTTGGGCAGTAGGTACTTGGAGGCTTCAATCACCTCCTTCGTTTTCGCGCGCGGTTCGGTTCCCACAGACCGGCGCGATCCATTCGGCCCAAACCCACAGTCGCACACGCCAACGGGCGGAATATGGTGGGTGGAAACATCCAAAAATGTGTCATGATCTGTTTGATGATCTGTTTCAGGTGAAGATCACTTGAATATGGTGCTGAAACATCTGAAACATCTGAAAGGGTGATCTTGTATCAGATGTTCTTTGAATATGTCCCCCTTCACGCAAGCGATCATGCGAATCCCTGGCGTATCTTGGTGCCGAATCACCACCATGCCAGCAGTCTGTCTGTGAAGAACTACTTCAAAGGGATCGGTAAGACGAAAGGATTTATCACAGGGTTTTGCAGGTAAAACAGCACAAAGATCGACAACTAGGTGACAACTGACCACCCACAGCGAAGCAGACTGGGACCTGAGAAAACCAATCCCACCGCCCAATCCAGCGGTTTGAGAGTTAGTGGCACCCACTCGACCAAAGGATGGATGTTGAAATGGGTCACTCACCCAACTTGCCAAGAAGATGGAAACACATGAAATGCTGGATGGGAACTTCACATGCCTTTTCTTTCCCAGAGGTTCGAAAAGACCTGGTTCCAAGAGAAGAGAAGAGAAAGAGAAAAGAAAGAAAGAGAGAGAGAGAGAGGGAGAGAGGGATAGAGAGAGAGAGAGAGAGGAAGGAGAGAAGAGAGAAGAGAGAAGAGAAAGAGAACCCTCATATGCTCGTAGGCTTTGGTTGATGAGCCAACGAGATTGAATGTTTCGTTGTTGATCTCGTTGGTCCACACCCGGAGAGACATCTGCACACGACCGAGATCCGGAAAGCTGCGTAGGGCACCAGGCTAGGGGATGAAACAAAACAGTAGAATCCTTATTTTGCCCGCCCCTACTTAATTAAGTAGGCACCTACTTAATTAAGTCTTCAGTGAACGCTCCCTTTGTCAACTGCTGCTTGGAAGGTTC